ATGCTTTAGTTAAGGAGTTATTGATACTTCGAGTGCAAAATGATGAAATAAAACCTTGATAAAAATGCACTTTTAAGTACTAATTAGTAACAATCCTTATCTTCTTGTTTAAATAAAACGTCATTGATAACGTCAGAATTTAACCCAATTTTCCATATGAAAGTTTTAGGAAATTATCTCAGCTTTCCAAGAAAAAAATTGAGGTCATTTGGACTTCTAGAACTCAAGATATGGGCTGAACACTGAACAATATCTAGGTTGTAGGATAGATTTGGACTTCTATGTTGTTGCTAAGATTTGGACTTCTAAACAGCAGAATTGAGTCTTGACTTTTCATAAAAGTTTTAGGCCTATATTTTAGCTTTCCATCCATATAAAATATATCTAAATCTGAGATCTATGGCTCCAGATATGACCCAATTATCAAACAGTGTTCTAGTTTGTACTGCACCAGCATCTCTTTTCTAAGTTTGGCCCTCTCTTTGTTCTTTCAATTTCATTACTTCAACTTTTCAATCAATCCTTTTATTTATGTGATAGGCTTGCATTTAGGATGAACATTTACCATAAATTAAAGGTATCTTATGGTATCAGAATTGTTATCATAAAATATGCTTTAGTTAAGGAGTTATTAATACTTTAAGTGTAAAATGATGATATAAAACCTTAATAAAAATACATTTTTAAATAGTAATCACAAAGAAAAGAGGAATTTGAAGCATTTACTTTATTTATATGAATAATAAGGCAAGACATAACTAAAGTTTCTTGAAAAACTTATTTCGTATAGGAAAGCGTTGCTTACCAATCTAGATTGTCAGCTTTTGATTAGAAAGGATTTTATTAGGCACATAATGTGGGATTTGGCTTTTGGCAATGAAAAAGGGGTTTTTATAAGCTCAAAATGTGTTTAAAGGATCTCAAAATTAAGGATTACTAGTGATCGTTTCTAAACCCTTTTTTTTTTGTCAAAGAATTCTTTGATGTTAGTGTTGACTTTGTCAAATGGTCTGTCTTTCCCTCCAACTTTGTTTAGGCACCTTTTATAATTGAGAATTATTTTTGTATATCCTTATGGTTGAATTGATTTTCTAATCATCATACTTGCCATCAATATAAAGTGTGATCCTAGTCAAAGTTAATTTTTAAGAGAAATTTATTATGCTCGAACGGGGATTGCAAATAATATTTTTTAGTATTGTAAAAGCATTATCAAAAATGATATTTTTTTCATTTTAAACATATACATTTAGAACTAGTAAGCTTTGCTTTCCTTCATTATGGTTAATTTGGACATGCAAAATTATTTTATTTTTTATTATGATTACAAATTATTATTTATTCAATTAAAACTCAGTTTAATTTGAACATGCAAAATGATTTTTCATTATGATTACGAATCATTATTTATTCAATTAAAACTCAGCTTCAAAGTTATTTGTGGCATTTAATATGTTCTTCAGATTTTAAGTGTTTCGTCACCTAATTATAAGATTACTTGAATTTCTAAAACTTATTTGTTACAAATAAACACTAAAAAGGCTAAATTGAAAAAACAATTTGGTGACCAAAATGAAAAAAAAAATCAAAACAAAAGAAAAAAATAAAAGCATTATATAAAATGCATAATAATCAATATGTGGGTGCGTGCTTATACAATATTTTTATCACACTATTTAGTTTTTGTTAATTAACTAGATCCTTAGCTCGCTTAATACTATAAGTTGGGTTATTTTTTTAAAACGTAAAAAATACAAAGGCAAAACTAAGATATTTTCTAGTAGAAAATGAAAAAAAAAAATGATGCATACTAGACAACACTTTTTTTAAAAAAATTTTGAGATAGAAACATATTATATGATGTTTTTTAAAATAAATATTAAGAAGGAGATATATATATTAACTTGAGCCAATTCTCGTTAACCTACAAAACTCATAACTTGTGTCATGAGACTATGATAACTATATAAAAAAATTAAAATAAATAAGGAAACTCAATTTTTAATTAGTCAAATATTGAAGGATAAAAAAAATTCAATCTAAAAAAATAAAAAAATAACTTGAGTCAATCTAAATCAACTAACCAAACCTGTGACTCATGTCATGAGAATAAGATTACCTCATAAAAATAATAAAATAAAATAAAATCATGAAGCTGGATTCTCAATAAACACGTTGTTAAAGGACAAAATCAAAATAAAAAAAATAAAAACAATGAAAAACATTTAATTAACTCAGGTTAACTTGTCAAATTTATGACTTGAGTTATGAGATTCAAATAATTTCATAGAAAGAAATAAAAAAACAAAACTCAATTATCAAAAAACTAAATATTGAAGGCTAAAATTGAAAAAAAAAATTTGAAAATAGGATTTAAAAAAATGATCTGAAACTCGAGCTAAACTTTCAAACCCATTACTCGGGTTATGATCCTGGGATTACCCCATAGAAAGCAAATAAAAAAAATTATGAAGGATAATCCCTTACCTACTCAATGTTAAAGGATGAAATTGAAAAAAATAAAAAAACTTATAAAAATAAAAAAAACAATAAAAAAATAAAGACCAAATCAAAACAAGAGAAAAATTTTAAAGCTTGTCATGAAAATCGAGGTAAGGAGAGAGAAAAGATAGAGAAGAAAGAGAGGAAGAGTGGGCCATTAACAATACGCCGTCGCCTTTACCTAAACACAAATGTTTATAAATTAAAGAACTTGCCATGACATTCAAAAGAAATCATGAAAAATCTCATTTGAGGGCGTAGGAGATCGTACATGTCTTCACAACATGATGACTCTTCTAACATACTGGCAAATGTATTGTACTCGCCAAACATTTCTCTTTGTTTATTTAGTTTTGTCTTTACTTTTATTTCAGTTTTAAATTTGATCTGTTGAGCCTTAACTGATGTAAATCAATAAAATTGAATCTTATTTTATAAATCCAATCATTAATCATGTATAAAAAGTTTTTCTCAATATTGTGAGATCATCATGTTTAGCAACTAAAACAAACTATTAAGTTTAATTATAAATAAATTTAATATTAAGTAATAAAATTAAAAAAAAATTCAAAGAATAAAAAAAGAATTAAACATTTTTTCATTCCTGCTCAATTCAATCATTGATGCCATAAAAAAATGCTAAAAATTTGTCTAATCTTTAAATTTGGTTGTCTTAACACCGTTAGATTTTATAAATAATTAAAATAAATCATCAAATCTAGAAAAAAATGGAGAAACAAAATAAAATGCCAAGGAAAAAAAAATGTGGAAAACTATTCCAGTTTGCTTTCTACTACTAAACTACATTTCCCACCCTTTTAATTTTTCTTCTTTTTATTTTGGATTTAATTTTAGTTTTAATTTAATCTTAATGTGAGTCAAGTTGGGTGAGAAGACCCGATCAGAGTCATGTTTGCGATAGGACACCTTGGGTTGATGCTGGTTTTGATCGACCCGGCCGCGTCCCTGGTGCTCCGCATGCCTTGGATTCCGTTCCGAGTGTTTTGGGTCAACGAAGTTCCTTTGCATTGTATTAATTGTGGCTAATAAAAAAACAAAATAATGGAATAAGAAAACATTCAGTTATATTACTTTCTTCATTCAATAAAAAATTACGTTTTTAATTAACGTATTTTTTGTAATGACAATTTTTTATATATATTATTGAATGACTTTACTTTGAGATTAAATCTTTTTCTTAAGTAAATTTATAAACATACTAGTTATTTAATTCACCTTTTGATTTGGATAAAATAAGTTTTTTTAGAAAAAAATAAATATATAAGCTTTTCAAATATATGTTTTTTTTTAAAAATTATAATTATAAATTAAAAAATTACACAAATATTTAATTAAATAAATTAAAAATAATAAGTGTTAATAAATAAAAAAAAGTATTCGCGTATCTATATAACACAGCTATATATTAAATATTTTTTAACTCAAATAAATTAATTTTTTTTATCAATATATTTTTTAATAATAAATGAAAAATATAATTTTAAATTTAAAAATCAATACTTATATATTATAAAAAATAATAATAATTGTCTACGTTAATAAAGATGGTAAGATATTAAGTTTATTTTTAAACATAATACAAAAAATAAAATAATTTTATATTGAAATACTTTTTTTGTAGCTTCTGTATAATAAGTTTTTTTTAAAAAAAAAAAGATGTAAAGAAAAAAAATAAAAACAAATTAAAAAATAAAGATAAGAACAAAAAAGGTGTCATTGTAAATTAGAGCAAAAAACATGGGCATTCCTGGAAAGCAGGAAATTCAAGGAGCCGGCGTCGGTAGTGGGTGGCCAAAAGCCATATCTACCTCTGTTTTTAACTTTTCTTTCGAAACAAAGATTAATTTAATTAATTAACAACACTTCTCTTCCTAAAACTTCCTCGAAAGGGGAAAAAAAAAAAAAAACAAGAGAAGAAAAATAATTCAGAATTGGGGATTGTCAGATTCCTGGAATCCATGGCTTCTCGCAGACGCATGCTCTTGAAGGTTATAATTCTTGGTGACAGCGGGTACACTCTTATCACTTACCTCTCTCATTCTCAATTTTATGTTTTCAATTTGGCTAATGTGATTGTTATTTTGATAAATTATGCAGGGTCGGCAAGACATCGCTGATGAATCAGTAATTACTCTCCTGAAACTACATAGATCCTTTTTTGAAAAAAAAATTACCTTTTTTAAATAGTTTTGTTTTTTGGTATGGATTTTTAGGTACGTGAATCGAAAGTTCAGTAATCAATACAAGGCAACAATAGGAGCTGACTTTTTAACCAAAGAAGTTCAGTTTGAGGATAGAATGTTCACATTGCAGGTCCCAAACACAATGTCTTTTTTATTTATTTAATTTGATATCTGTATATATAATAATTTTTTTATATTCTGTTAGATCATTAGTTTGAATGAATCAAATTTATAGTACATCCAAAATGTGTTATTAAGTTGAAGTTAATTGTGGTTAACTCGTAGCTATTGTTAATTGTTTCCAGCTAATTTGTTAAGGATATATAATTTTAAAACACTAGAGATAGAAAAAGCGAACAGAAGGAGTTAGCGACTAGGAATGGAAGCATAAGATCTGAAGGGCCTTGCCTCTAGGTGGATGTGCTTTGCATGCAAGTATTTCGGTTTTGTGGGTAATTGCAATTTCAATTACTTATAGTGGGTCAAAGCCTGTATTAAGACAGGAGGAGAAGACTCCAAGAAGAAGATGATCGATATATTAGGAGACTGAGAAAAATTTATTAGGTTGCATCCTGTATTTAGATGCTTGATGGACGATGTATAAATAAGCTATCCTATAGTATGTTGGCTATAATTGTGCTTTTGGATATCCCAGACCAGATTTTCTGTTGATGTGTTCTTAAATGAATTCATGATTCCAAGTTCTGGTCCAAACTCTTAGTTGTGTGGTTGTCCTACTGATGGTAGGAGGTAGGAAAGTTAATTTGAAAGGGAATTTAAAAAAATACTGATGGTAGGAGGTAGGAAACAAATATAAGAAAGTTAATTTGAAAGGGAATTTAAAAAAAAACCATAAGGTTCTTTTGACCTCAGATGATAATTAATATTGCCTTATCTTAATACTGTCGAATGAACAAAAAATAGCTTTAATACGCTGGATCATGATATATAACTTCAAACCCTCCCATAAGTCAGTCATGGCATGATTTTATGTAGTTTTTAAACCACGAATACGGAAGTGTGAAGGCTTATCAGTTGAGTTTATATATTATTTTCCATTCTTGAGCGGAAATGCCTGGTTGTGTAAACTTTGTTCTCTGCCTTAATATCTATACGTGCAGATATGGGATACTGCAGGACAGGAGAGGTTTCAAAGTCTTGGAGTGGCTTTCTATCGTGGCGCGGACTGCTGTGTTCTTGTTTATGATGTGAATGTCATGAAGTCATTTGACAATCTTAACAATTGGAGAGAGGAGTTTCTGATTCAGGTAACCATTTGCTAATGGGCTAGACAGATCTTTTGATAGTTTGTAGACAATTACTGAAGATTATATCTTGTGTACTAATTTGCAGGCAAGTCCATCTGACCCTGAAAACTTCCCATTTGTTGTGTTGGGGAACAAGATAGATGTTGATGGAGGCAATAGTCGAGTGGTAGGATGATTTTTCCCTTTTCATGACGTGCATTTTCCTTTCATTTGAAAACATTTCATAAAATGTGCACTTTCCAAATTGTTGAGGAGGAAATGTACCACTCCCATGTTGATCTCTCTTGAGTAAAAGATTCCCCATTGACGTCATTTTATCAACTTTAGGTTTCTGAGAAGAAAGCAAAGGCATGGTGTGCTGCTAAGGGAAACATACCCTACTTTGAGACTTCTGCAAAAGAAGGTTTCAATGTAGATGCTGCATTTCAATGTATAGCCAAAAATGCGCTTAAGAATGAACCTGAAGAAGAAATGTAAGCATAAAAAATCCATCCGCATTCTTGTCACGTTGGGAAAATCCAAGGAATTAGATTTCAAATTTTATCAACTTAACCAAGCATTAATGTCATGAAATGCGAACTGATTGTTTTGTTCTTGCTTGTTGGTGATGACAGATACCTTCCTGACACCATCGATGTTGGGGGTGGAGGGCGACAACAAGCATCCACTGGCTGCGAATGTTGAAAGAACTCGCTGCCCAGCTGTGTTTTTCAATTAGCAATACGAGTTTCATCCCTGTGTTTTCATATGGTTTTTTAAAATCTTCGTCTTTGTATCGTATAAGTGGCTCCAAAGCAAAACTGGATTTCATCTTGTTGTGCCCCTCTTGAGAAGTTTGTATCTGTATTCTGTCATGTAATCATGATTCATTTCGATCATTATATATTACTTGTAATGGCTGTCTAGTTTGTTTGAAATGTATCGCTGTCAACAGATGCAGATCAACCTTTTCCTTTCAATACAAAGTTGAAGACTACAATTTCTTCAATCTAATTATAATTTGCTCTGCTCACTTGTAATCATAGGTGGTTTGTTTGTTTGTTTGTTTTTTGGAAAGAAAACGAAGAAATTAGTAATGGTTTTATTTTTTTCTATTTGCTTTTCTGCTCTATGTATTTTTAGTGGGTGCTTTATTTTATGAATTAAAGGTAACTTTTCACCCTTTTTGCTCATGTTTAGGCTGATTTTTAAGGGGGATAAATTTTTAGAGGTTGACATTTAACTCCATGTTAGGTGTTGGTGTTAGTATTTGTTTGTTTTTATATTTTAAAATAGTCTTTATATTTATTTAATTTTAAATTATTATTTTTTTAAATATTTTAAAATTATTTGATATATTTATATTAAAAATAATTTTTAAAATATTAAAAAATTATTTTAATATATTTCTAAATAAAAAATAAAAAAGAATCTCATCTTTGGTTTGCAAGCTTTGCACTTTTGAATTTAAACTTATTTTAGTCTCTTTGTATTTTAATTTTTATTTTAAACTATAAATATATATTATATAGTTTTTTTTTGTAATCATATGTAAAATTAATTTAATTTATATTATGGTCTACTATGTTTTCAATTTTTATCAAATATTCTTAAAATTTATCTCTTTAATATTTTTTAAATTCTTAATCTCATCTTATTTTTTCTTCATATTTATATTTGGTTGGAAAGGTCGGTAAAGTTAGCAGGGCAAAAAAAAAAAAAAAAAGGCCAACATTTTAAGAGATTGCTGTTGAGTGGGAGTACAGGATTGGTTCTATTTCATGGAGGCAACAAAAGAAGGCACTGGATTCCTTGACCAGATCGTGCCTCCTCGCCTGGAAGACGCGGGCCTCGAGGACTGTGCCCTCCCGCCTGACTTAATCAAAGAAGCCTTCCTCAAAGCAGCTTCTGCTGTCAAGTCACGTGCGACCTCCATCTTTTCAGAAGAAGATGAATCCGCTGAATGCGTCCAAGACCCTTGGCCGGAGGAGGCTAAATTCGCTTCTGACAAGCTGGTCGGTGTGCCGCCGGTACCGGGAGCGTCGGATGCGTTGGTGGGAATAGACATGGGAAACGAGACGCCGGGATCATGTGTGGCTGAGAAAGGCGGTGGAGTGGTGGAAGAGGGCGGGGATAAGGTAGTCGTGGTTGGTGGTGACGTGGAGGAGAAAGAGAATGAGAGAGGTGGTTGTTTGGGTGATGGGCTGAAGAAGAAAGAAGAGAATGGTAGCGAGGAGGAGGAGGGGGGCAGAGCAGGTGATAGGCCAACTTTGACTGAAGGTTTTATTTAAAAGAAAAAAAAAACTAGGTGTTTTTGTTTGTTTAGTTTGGATTGCTTGAAGTTCAGTTCTGTAAGAAACTAGATGTTGTGTTGGGTGATTTGTATTTTGTAAAATCTAACGTTAATCATCAAGTTTCTTGAGTTTTTGAACTTGCTCTTTATTTCTGTTCATCAACTGCGTCAACACTATATTCCAAATAAATGTATGGCTTGAGTGGACAGCATTCTCGTGTTTCTTTAGTGTATGTTTAAATTGCCTAATGTATGATCTTGGGCTCTCTTTTTATCATGATCTTGTGTCATTTGCGATTTGACTCCATTCAATTTTGCGGAGCTTCATCACCTCATGAATGATTTATGGTAGAGTTTTTTGATATTTGTATGATTTGTGGTTCCTCATAATTTGCTGGTGACAAAATTCACTTTTATGGAAAGTTGTAGTACTACAAGGACTTAACCTGCAAAATGCTATGTACTATGCCTGATATAATGAGGCAACTTTAGAGTATCATATGAATCATGTTTATGTCTCTTTCAAGACCCAGTTGTAATGCCTAGAGTTGCAAAGTGCTCGACAGCATCTGCTAGAGGATCTTTCAAAGATGTAACCCCAATTCGACACCAAGAAAGAGGGGGCTTCGCTTAGATCATTAGCAGAGGAGTGATCAAGAATTAGAAATGAAGGTGGATGTGGTTTTTATAAGGTTCATCTTTTGGAAATTTGCATTTTGTGATGATGACGCTGATATATATTTGGCATTTTTTTACCATGTCACTACTTAAGCGTGGTTCACTAAATGCTAAATTGAACTGTTCTCAGATGATAATGACAGGTTATTCCCTGGAGAAGACTTGCATTTGTTATTAGCAATATAATATGGATGCAAAGGGAAGTCTTAATGACAGCAGAGCAGGAAGAATTTCCAACCCAAGAGGACTCTGCCTCTATGGAAAGCAAAGTCTTCATCCGAGCAGAGTGACAAAATGTGGCTGAAAACAAGTCTTAGAATATTTTAAATGAGAAGATATCCGGTCGCTCACAGGTTTGCTTGTTTTTTGAAGATTTGGAATGGGTGATGTCTATTATTGATTGTTTTTAGTGTATAATTGTGTGGAATAGGTGAGGTCAATTATTGATTACCAGGATTTACTCGTGTGTTGTTAGTGTGATTTGGGTTGGCTTTGGATTTTGATGCTAACACTGGTTTTCTGGGTAACCACATTGGTGATTCAATGTGCTTTTGTATGTGCAAATATTTTAAGCTATTTATTGAAGTAAGTCCAAAATCTAGAGATGTAAGGTGTGAACTGCAGCTAGCCAGGAGATAGATAAAGCTATATTACCTCAGGTGCAAAGATATTTCAAATAACAGTGTTCTGCACCTACTAGGAATGTGAAGGAGAGAAAGGCTTTGAAACATGTCAATTTTATGCTGACATTTTATGTTTGATGCTATTAGTTTGTATTTCACTGGTTTTCAACTTCTTTTGTGTTTTGCCCTGGTTTAGAAAACATTCCATTGAATTTTGTGCTGCTTTGGTTTGTGGGGTAATTGGTTTTCTACTGGGAATCAGCTCTAAGAGCCAAAGGCTTTGAAATCATAGCATAACTAAAGCATATTGTGAAAAGTTGAAAAGACACAGATTTTAGTGGTTCGTTTCTACTTTTGCTAGATGTAGCAACCCTGCCTGAGAAGCTTTCTATAAAGGGATATCCAGCATATTTATTTGGCATTTTGCTTTGTTATGGAGGCAGGAAGTGAAATTCTATACTTTCAATTTGTCAAGCATGTCAATTTTATGTTGACATTTTATGTTTGATGCTGTTAGTTTGTATTTCACTGGTCTTCAACTTCTTTTGTGTTTTTTGCCCTGTTTTAGAAAACATTCCATTGAATTTTGTGCTGCTTTGGTTTGTGGGGTAATTGGTTTTCTACTGTGAATCAGCTCTAAGAGCCAAAGGCTTTGAAATCATAGCATAACTAAAGCATATTGTGAAAAGTTGAAAAGACACAGATTTTAGTGGCTCGTTTCTACTTTTGCTAGATGTAGCAACCCTGCCTGAGAAGCTTTCTATAAAGGGATATCCAGCATATTTATTTGGCATTTTGCTTTGTTATGGAGCCTTCAATATGTCCTCTAGAGTATGGCTGGGCCATCTGGAATCTTGGATTAATTAAATTGCCTATCTACTTGAAAATTTTCAACTTCAAAAACCAGAAACGTCAAGCTGTAAATTCCCTATAACCTTTTTCATTACTGAAAAAAGTTATGTTAAGCACTTGTAGAGATGGGAGCAGAACAAGATCTATCAAAGCCATTAATGCGCTCATCTTCTTTGGATCAGTATGATTGGTGGTGATGGATTTCATCCCTGGACCACATTATTCATGTAGGTAACCAAGAATCCTTGAAACGGGGATAGTGCTTGTATGACATCCTTGTGTGAATAATTAGAATATACTGTATGCCTCAATCATGATATGATGTTATTTTCATTGTGAAACTTAACTCACTTTTAGCTCTTATCTTGCTTTTATATATATTTGGTGCTCATTATGTCCATTTGAATGTCTTCCCGAACTATTGAAGCAATTTTCACCATCAGCAAGATGGCAACCGATGAATAGCATTGCTCTAACAGTTCCTAAAATTAGTGAGATTCATAAGATTGTGTTGCAGAAGTCTAGCTGAACACAAAAATTCAACATTTGCAATTTAAGATCTGAATTGAAATTTTATGTATCTGAAGGCATCTCTTAGGAAGCAGAGAGTTACAAGATCAGAAACAAAGTGGGAAAAAGACTTCGGGTATTTGAGCCTAGGTGAAATTACTAGGCTTGTTCAGGTTCTCTTCTAACAATCAAACAACGTAAATTTGTTGATTACATTCTTTTATCTTTTTGGAAATGAAAACAAATGACTGAGCCACTTTTCTTCACGATGACATTAGCATAGTATATGCTGCATACCCTTTTTTCTATAGTCAGTACCGATTGTGACTTGTGAGATTTACAAAGACAATTGATAGAGCATGTTAATAGCTGGAGGCATCTCCATTTCCAAAATGTGTTGCGACTTACTGTGATAGTAGAATTCCCTATTCTGATTTTGGTGTGTGAATGCGTCTCTGGTACATGTGCGGCTGCATCCTATTTGCAATTGTTGCCCATATGTGATTGCATGACCAACAGGATTCCTCAACACTAGAAACTGTTCATGGAAAGATAGTGTTCCTGGACTTTTCTTGATGATCTTTCAATGAAAATGGTTTCTTCAAGCTTGCAGATTAACTTTCAGTCAACCAGGACAGAGGAGCGATTTCTGATAGATTCATTATTTACTTATTATGTATTTGCAGAAATCTTATGAAGTTAGAAAATCGTTTTTGGACAATTCAGATAGATCAGATGCGTACAAGTGGTTTCTTATGCAGCAATTAACCTACCAAATCATCTCAAGCATGTAGCTCTCATGACTTGTGTTCTGCCATGGGACTGAGGTATGGTCCCATGCTTCTTGCTCTTATGACAGTTACCTATGAGTGGATGAAAAGGCTATTTATGTGACAGTGTGCTGTGTGAGAGAAGTAATGATGCGAGTTAATGAAGCTAGGAAATATTTACTCAAGTATTTTATTGAATTGAAAGTTTCCATGGGCTCCTTATCAATGGAACACTGCAAGTTTGGATGAGGGATGTTATCGCTGTCCTCGACTCTTCAGTACCGAGTTGCATGGACTTCCAAGTTAAAGTGATGCAGTTTAATTGATACAGTAGTAAATGACCTGAATTAGGGAGAGAGTTTCAGCTTCTGATTTACGAGTAAAATTCAATTTATAAGCAGCTGAATGATGGACTTGTGCCATTCTTAAGGAAGCTAGCGTGGGTAAGCTAAACAAGGTTTGCATCAGAAGAAAAGCTCAGCTTGCATTCCTCAAGGGCATGGATACATGTTTGTATTGAGTCCGCATCTGGCCAAGCAAAATTTAAATCCCATGTGAAATCTTGATCAAATTACCTGGTAATTGCATGCACAATAACAATTACCAATCAGTGGTGGTTAAAGAGGCTTGTCTCTTGTTTTTTTTTTTTTTTTAATAAGTTTTGAGTCCAGCCATTAATAGAAGAGTTTTATTTTTATAAAAACCAAGCTAAGTCGACTGCATTTGCTAGGTTAGCGAACTACTTGGATATCAGGATTTAAACTGAAAAAACAAGAGAGAGGCTCACGCTATTAATAGTAGGTTGGTGGCAAAGATTGCAATCGGGGCAACTGTGAGAAAGTGACTGCTCTGGCATGAAAATGTAAATGCTCATTATCTTGCTATTTACTAGGTGTTGGTCCCCAGGCACCAAACCTCACAGCACATTTAGGGTCCACGCATCTCACACATATAAATGCAAGGAGGGATGATTCCATGGAGGATTTAATTGCATCACGAGAATATCATTCATTTCTTTCTATTTACATATAAATTCTTTGTTCTAGATTGAAATCCAAACAATCTCAAAATATTAAATAAGACAGGGATTATTTCTGATCTTGGAAGCATGGCAAGAATCCGTGGCAAAAGCTCAAGATATTATGTCCATTGATATGACGCAAGCAACGAGGACCACTGGCTTCAAGGGTCCAAACTTAAAAATTAAAAAATAAAAAATTAATGGCTAACTGCTATTAAGTGGTGGTTGAGTAACATGGATGGATTATAAGAATAATTAGCCTTTTCCACCAACCACGCTACCTTTAGCTTTGCACGTAATCAAATAGAACTGCACTTTAGACTACATAGAGTCAAAATATATAAAGCGTTCATGATCACGGGGAAGGAAGGAAGGAAGGATTCCCTAGTCTTCTTCTCTCTTGCTCTTTATTTATTAATCATCTTTAGCTGCTCAAGTGGCATGTCTTTTCTGTTCATGGCAGAGGCATAAATAGATCTCTGTTCACACCAATATCTACCACTTAGGAATGAGCCTTGTGCTTCAAAAATGGCCTTCTGATCTATCATCTTAAAATCCTGTGGTTGCTGTGGCTTCTAATAACTTGTTTCTTGAAGAGAGAGACGAAAAGAGAAGGCACTGTTTGTAACTTTGCCTTCAGCTCTACTGTCTTTATCTCTTGGCAACCTTGAGGAGCCTTCAGCTGTCTTTATCTTCCCTATCTGTACTTGTAAAACACTTTTAGGGAAGAAGAATAGAGCTTTGTCTGTTCTTGCAGTCAGGGTCACC